AGGAGTCCCATATCGGATATGGTAAAGAGCGCAACGCGGGCTCGCGCTTCTCACCCGCCAGACCAGCAATTCTCGCCTGGAATTCACAGTGACCCCCGCCAGTCTCCTTTCATGATGGTACGTTGGGGGCTACAGAGGGCGCAAGGCGGTCCAAAGATGGCCCAGTCAAGTTCAACATGCTGACGAAGACGGGCCCAGAACACACACGCACACACACACACACCTCAAGTAACCCAGGCTACCCAGAAGACAGCAACAGACTTGCCAAAGACGGCCACAGAGAGTTCCTCTCGGCTCCCAAGGACACGCCAAGAGGCCATCGTCATTGTTTCCCATCGGCTTTCGTCTGGTTTTCGTACAAGCCTAGTCGTTCTCATGAGCGTCCAGGACAGTCCGAGAAACCCCAAGAGCGCCCAAAGACAGCCCCAAAGGCGCCGAAGCGGGCACCAAGAGCGCTCCAAAGATGTCCCAAGAGAGCCACAAATCACCCCAAGAGAGCCCAAGACTAATGTCTTCCGTATCGCACTTAAGAGACCACATCCCAACAATAATGCCGGGCACCCCGAACGGTATCGAAGCGGTGTCTGTCCGACACGCTGGCGAAGTGCCGAACGAATATCGCCTCCCAGGGCCCGATACGTTAAAACCCTGCAAATTTCGATATTTTCTTCGTGCTCGAAATCCTTGCTGGTGAACAAGCCTGACGTCGGTCAGCACATCATAGCCGCCCAAGACGCTATTCCAAGAGGCCCGAAACGGCCCCTATCCACTCCAAGAGAGCTCCAATGCTCCCCCAGCATCTCAAACCCCTTCAGGTTTTCAGTCAACGACCGGGGATTAAGGAACGCCTTCCAGAGAGGGTGCTTCGACTGCACGCAAGAGTGGCCCTGGGTACGAGAGACCTTTGGTGCGCGGCTTTTTCGGAGCCGCGCGGGGACTAAATACAAGCGCGCAAGACGCTACTACCGCATTGCGGTCGGCGATCGGGGGACCCCATTGGGCTCGCACCAAAGGTCACCCTGGCGAAAGGTTACCGTGTAGTCGAACCTCTGAGCAGGGTGCTTGTCAGCATGCTGTATCCCAACGTGCTTCCCGGCTTCCGTCCGGGTTCTGATCGCCCCGACCCCCTCGCCAGACAGGCACGAAAGACACGCCCAAACGGCTCCCAGGCCGCTCCCCAAAGACGCCAAGATCGCCCCAAGAAGCCCCCACATGTGCCCCAGCGAACCCCTTGAGATAGTCCCAACACACCGACGCCGCAGGGACGCGCTCGAACTTGCCTCCTCGTCCTCGACCTGTTGACGCCATACCTTTACGCCCTCACTGGTGGCGATGCGTGCTCGTTTCCCCGTGGGGGCCCGCTGTGACTCCCGCTAAGCGGGCTCAAATTTGCCTAGCGCTCTTGGACTGGAAGGAGCGACCCACTATGAGAGACCAAGACCATGCAACGGATAATCGCCGTGCATCCATCCAGATCAATCCCGAACCGTTTTGTCCTGGTGTAACCTACGAGCGCTGCCGCAAAAACTAGCCTGGACTCCCCTTCACCACGAATCTGATCCCCCAATGAGCCGCACGTGGCCGTACGTGTACAAGACGGTGCCGCAGCGACGGCAGTGATGAGCGCCCGGGCAGGGGCGGAACCCAACAACCGTACCACGTGTCGAACATCTCGACCGTGTCCAGCGGTCCTTCTTCTCGGTTGCGCCCGCCTGCCAGGAGGGGCTGGGCGCTTTCATCACCTCCCGACTGAAGTCGTGGAAGAGATGGCGGGAAGGTGCGAGGATGACCAGGGGGAGGACGACGAGGGAGAATCCACGGTCCTGGGCAAGAGGTAAGGCAAACGAACGGAAGCCTTCCTGATGGGCAACTCGATCTCGCATCCCGCGCGTGCGCAGTGATCAGGAATATGTGACGACGGAGGGAAGGGTCAAAATGTGGCGGAGGATGAGGAAGTTCTCCCGAACGCCCGGGGAGATGAGATACGGAGACGGCGTAAGCGCTCTCGGGCCAAGAGGCCATCATAAAACTGGTGGGAACCTCCCACCGCAGAGAAGCGTGCACTTTCCATCGGCCTTTGCCCTGAGCCCGCTCCAGCCGCAGACTGGGAGCCTCGATTTCCCACTCCCTCCTTCTTCCCTTCCCCCTTCGGCCCTGGGTAAAGGTCATGTTGTGATGTTGATCCCATCCTACTTAAGGACCGCATCCCAGAAAAAAAATCGAGCTCCCGGAAAAGTGTCAAAAGGGTGTGGAAAGAGTGTCGAAACAGTGTCGGGCGAGTGTCTCCCAGGACCCGACACGTGAAAACCCTTGCGTTTCGGTACTTTTTTCTGGCGCTCGAAACTCTTCCTGGCGATCAAGGCCAAGTAGGCTGGAGCACCATAAGGCAAAGGTCGGCTCGCGAAGAGGGGCGGGCGCGGCAGGCCGAGACGGACCTCTTGGCCTGCGCCCCGCCCCGCCCCTCCTCTTCTCTCCATCGCTCGGACGTCCATTCCCTGTGTGTTTTTGTCGGTTTCGTGCGTGTTTTTTTCGCCAAGTGATCCAGGATGCTCCTCGATGGTCCTCGCCGAAGAAAAAACGCACACGTCCGAGCGATGCCACGCTCCTCTCTCTCCCCTCGAGGGCTCGGGCGGACAGGGCGCGTGGTGGCCCCACTGCGCCACCCCAGCCCGCCCCAGACCTGGGAGCAGCACCGGCCGGTGCCATCGCTGCGCGCGCCCGCCGCCCTCCTCCTCCGCGAGCCGCCCAGGGGCGCGCGCGCGTTCCAGCTCTGCCCCTCCCCAGTGACGCGCGGTGCTGGGGGAGGGTCCTAGTAGGCACACCCCCCCTCGCAGAAGGGACCCCCTGTGGTCGGCGCCTGCAGTCAATCAGGTACGAACTCCAAACTTAGCCCGCGCGCTGGGGAAACCGAGCAGGGGTGAGGGGGAACGGCAGTCGGGGGCGGCCAAGAGGGGGGCGTCCAAGAGGGGGGGGGGGGCGCAGATCATGGCCGGCGGCTCCTGCGCGGCTCAGGGGGGGGGGGCGGGGACGTGCTGAAAGAAGAAGAGGTGCAGTGAAACTCTCGGAGATATCCTGGCCCCCGCCACGAGATCCCGTCAGCACCCCCCTCTTGGCCGCCCCAGAGACAGGGGGGAGACACACCGACTTCTGGGGGGAGCAGTGGCCATGAGGAGGAGGAGGAGGAGGAGGAGGAGGAGGAGGAGGAGGAGGAGGAGGAGGAGGAGGAGCAGGAGCAGGAGGAGGAGGAGGGGGGATCAGCACGTGGTTGGGGGACGGAAGGTCTATCCGCCCTATTGCCTGCCATCTCGCTGTTGAGATGAGGCTGCGACTCTGGCTGCTTCTGCGGCTATAAAATCTCTGAGCTTGACAGGAGGGCTCTGGAAAATAGATGGGTCTCTGAAAGAGGGCTTCGGGCGTTTCCCAGCGCACAACAGACGCCACTGGGTCCGATCACCGTCCCTCCTGAAGCCTTGGCAGCCCTCTTTGAGCTTCTTGACATTAGATTCACAGTACTTGCCGCAGCCAGAGCACATCATTATGAAGTTTAAACTTCTTTCTTGTCGGGCAACATAAAATGTGTGGCCCTGGGGATTCTCAGCTATCTGAGACATCTGTAAATGATAGCTTTGACATGGCTCATCTTTGCGAGTCTCACAAATTCTGTCAGAGCATCGGGCCTTGCATGTCGAGCACAGCCACTTGTTGGATCTGCTATTCCACTCCCAAGAGTGGCCAGGACTTTGGGGCCGTGGGACCACAGGAGCTGGCGGAGGAGGGGTCTCGCCAGTCCACACAACCCGAGCGCTGGCTGCACCCGCCACAATGGGCTGGGCAACCGTCTGGTCCCGAGAAGAAAACTTGTTCTTGCTGACTTTAGGTCCAACTGGCTCCCACAAACTTAAAGCACAAGCAACGTAACGCAACCACTTGGCCAGCAGGGATCTGTCCATGGTGGCTTCCTCAATCTCATTGGTCGAGGGACGTTGCAACATCTGAGCCCCTAGCTTAGCAAACTTGTCGGCGAAATCGTTGCCAGTGGCTCTCAGCCACTCTTCGGTGCCCTGGGTGAGACTTCCAGGACTCTGGTGAGTCTTTATTTTGTCCAGGGTGATTCCACGGTGCCAGTTGGCCGAACCCTGGGCCAGCAAAGCAACTCCTGAGTATTTATGCTTCCTACTGTGGAACTCACTGTGCACATCAATTACTCCTTGATAATCCGCGATTATCTTGTTAATGGCATGGGGAGAGGAGGAGGAGACCGCAGCAAGCACAGCAAGGTGCTCAGCAGAGGGAGAGGATTGGGGGAGGTTGCGGCCTACAGGGCCGTATACTGCAGCCGTCACATCGCCCTCGGAGTCGAGCGCGATGGCTGCATATCCTGCCACATGAAAATCCATGGGGCCCTGCTTTAAACAAGACCCGCCAGTATCTATATATATATATATATATATATATTACCTACTAGGGCCTCAGAGATGGGAACATTGTCTCTGGTCCAGACGACCTGCTGCTGCAAGCCAAGGCCCTCGGGAGCTCCCGTGGACCAGTCCAAACCTTCCAGAAAACCCGCCTGGATCGGGAATTTACCTGGGTCCATGAGAACCTGGGCCTCTTCAGCATTAAAAGATTCATCTCTGAAGGGCGCTGTGCAAGGGCAACTCACGAGTCTATGATGAAGATCGTCTGTTGGGTGTCCACATTGGCATTCTGTTTCTGCTGGGTACCCTGCTTTTTCAAACTCGAATGGGTCCAAATACACTAGGTCAGGAAGGCCAGGAGGGTGGTTTTCTCGGACTGGCTGATCCCTGGATCATGTAAAACCTTCCTTGCCGTGGACGTGTCGAGCGAGCCTTGGAGTCCTACCTTCGTCGCGGCCTGGACATGCAGCTGCTCGTCCCAGGCCTGCTTCATCGAAGGGGCATGCAGGGAGAAGTGGAGGTTAATGTGTGGGTCCTCTGGTACTGATCTATCAACGTGAAGGGCGAGGAGAACTGCCAACCCAATCTTTGTGCACTTAATAATGCTGCTCCAAACGGGCCTCGACACTCGCGCCACGTCCGTGGTGGGGCTTCGAGCACTGCCGCAGCTCGCGCGCGAAGTTGAGGCAAACCGGAGCCAGGATAATTCTGCCCTATCATGGCGCGCCACACCAGCTGCGACCAAATGGTGATGGGGCCAACACCTCGTCTCCAACAAGGGTCGCCAAGTAAGCGCAGAGCCAACGTACTAGAACGCGTAGGTGTACCTGGACCTGCTATGTGAAGATAAAGTTTACGAGCAGCTTTGAGTTCTTTATCATCTAGGCCTACCACTTCCGTCCCGTAGAATTGGGCTTGCCCGAAGCCCGTGTTGTACAGCTTGAGGGTATTTGCTCCAGCTCTCTTTACTGTTCTTATGCGATAAAGTCGGCCTTTCAGCTGCTTATGACGATCTCGAAGCTTAGAACTTGTAACACCTCTACCTCGTTTTTGACCAGCCCGAAAATCAACGCCTAGATTGGCCGCGTGATGAGGGACCGAGCCAGAGTATCTCCCAAGTGCTTTTGCTAGACGCATTTGCATGTCGAACGCCGAGGCTAGCACAGCAGACTTGTTGATGGCAATGAAACGCTCCAGTTCGTACTGGATGGCACGCAAAAGACTGGCAGCTGCACGCTTCAACTCGGAGACTATCGTCTGGAGAAGAGGAGGAGGAGGAGGTCATCAATGAACATGTGGAGGGATACTTCAACATTACTGGTCCAAATGTCTAAAGCCTCGATGCAGTACACCTGCACAAGGAAGGTCGCGAAACTGCAGCCTGCTGGGATCCCTTTTGTGGGGTAGCCTGCATATGATGTTTGATTATTCAGAGTAATCATACGTTGACCTTGATATTGATTTAGTATAATAGCCAAAAGAGCACCATTAAAACCAGTATCTAGAGCACGTCGGTGTAGTTTCTCTCTAGTAACATGTTCGTAATAATTGGTCAAGTCCCACATGGTGGAAGCGGAGTGCAGCTCTTCGTCTTGAACTGCGCCGCTCTCTGCCTGCAAAGATTGTTGGCACACCGGCTCCAAGAAGGATCTCCCCGCTTGGAGGGCCAAAAACTCTCGCCTATTGCTCTGCTCCCAGCTTCTTGCCTCACCTTGACGAATTCTGCCCCAAACTCGATAAACGGCTCGCATGAGCCCAATCCCCCGTTAAGAAGGACCACCCCCTGAAGGTTTGTGTTTCGGGATAAAAGCTGATGTCGCTGCAAGAAGCTGAGAGGGCATACTACCGACGCGCTCCACGCACATGAGGGGCCCGCAAAAATCCTTCTGCTGGTCGAACGTCAGCAGCCTGAAGTGACACGGGTGGATGCCGTCCCACGTCTCCGCCGTGGAGTGGCTAAACTTGCGCGAGGCCCTCTTGAGCATGCTGGCGGTGATCTCGGGGGGCCTGAGGGCAGCTTGAGGATCGCCAGGGACCTTTGGGCGCTTGTCCTGACTCGTCTCCCAGATCTTCGTTAGCCTTCTGACCTCCGAGTCGAGCAACTCCGCGGGGCTCCCCGAGAAGTCCCCGCGGGCCGTCTTTGTTCTGGATGGCTTCCAGGCTTGGACATTCTTGGTCCATCGGTGGGCCCACCCAACTCCAGAGGTCATTTTGTTAGAAACCCATTGCTTCGAACTCCTTTCCTTGTCCAAAAACTTCTTGACCTGGACGTGCAGCTCCGGAAAGATGTCCCT